GGGAGAAGAAGGGGCTCCAGAAAGACAGAGAGGTGGGGCACACCACCAAGTGCTGGACATAGTACACACAACCAAGGAAGAAGTGAAGAGGCTTCTGAGTGAGATAGATACCTCAAAGGCAAGGGGGCAGGATAACATCTCTCCATGGGTCCTGAGAGAGGGAGCAGAGGCGCTATGTGTACCCCTAACAACAATATTCAATACATCAATCGAAACAGGAAGATTGCCTGAGGCATGGAAGACAGCAAATGTAGTCCCAATCTTTAAAAAAGGAGACAGACATGAAGCACTAAACTACAGACCAGTGTCACTAACATGTATAGTATGCAAAGTCATGGAGAAGATTATCAGGAGAAGAGTGGTGGAACACCTAGAAAGGAATGATCTCATCAACAGCAGCCAACATGGTTTCAGGGACTAGAAATCTTGTGTCACAAACCTACTGGAGTTCTATGACATGGTGACTAGTAAGATAAGAGAGAGAGGGGTGGGTGGATTGCATTTTCTTGGCCTGCAAGAAGGCGTTTGACACAGTTCCACACAAGAGATTAGTACAAAAACTGGAGGACCAAGCAGGGATAACAGGGAAGGCACTACAATGGATCAGGGAATACTTGTCAGGAAGACAGCAGCGAGTCATGGTACGTGGCGAGGTGTCAGAGTGGGCACTTTGAACCAGGGGGGGTCCCACAGGGTTAGTCCTAGGACCAGTGCTGTTTCTGGTATTTGTGAACAACATGACAGAAGGAATAGAATCTGAAGTGTCCCTGTTTGCAGATGACATGAAGTTGATGAGAAGAATTCATTCGATCGAAGACCAGGCAGAACTACAAAGGGATCTGGACAGGCTGCAGACCTGGCCCAGCAATTGGCTACTGGAGTTCAACCCCACCAAGTGCAAAGTCATGAAGATTGGGGAAGGGCAAAGAAGACCGCAGACGGAGTACAGTCTATGGGGCCAGAGACTACAAACCTCACTCAAGGAAAAAGATCTTGGGGTGAGTATAACACCAGGCACATCTCCTGAAGCGCACATCAACCAAATAACTGCTGCAGCATATGGGTGCCTAGCAAACCTCAGAACAGCATTTCGACATCGTAATAAGGAATCGTTCAGGACCCTGTGCACCGTGTACGTTAGGCCCATATTGGAGTATGCGGCACCAGTTTGGAACCCACACCTAGCCAAGCACGTAAAGAAACTAGAGAAAGTGCAAAGGTTTGCAACAAGACTAGTCCCAGAGCTAAGAGGTATGTCCTACGAGGAGAGGTTAAGGGAAATCAACCTGATGACACTGGAGGACAGGAGAGATAGGGAGGACATGATAACGACATACAAAATACTGAGAGGAATTGACAAGGTGAACAAAGACAGGATGTTCCAGAGATGGGACACAGCAACAAGGGGACACAGTTGGAGGTTGAAGACACAGATGAATCACTGGGATGTTAGAAAGTATTTCTTCAGCCACAGAGTAGTCAGGAAGTGGAATAGTTTGGGAAGCGATGTAGTGGAGGCAGATCCATACATAGCTTTAAGCAGAGGTATGATAAAGCTCACGGTTCAGGGAGAGTGACCTAGTAGCGACCAGTGAAGAGGCGGGGCCAAGAGCTTGGACTCGACCCCTGCAACCTCAACTAGGTGAGTGTACACACACACACACACACACACACACACACACACACACACACACACACACACACACACACACACACACACACACACATACATACACACACACACACACACACACACACACACACACACACACACACACATATATATATATATATATTATATATATATATATATTATATATATATATATATATAATATATATATTTATTTATTTATTTATTTATTTATTTTTTTAAAAATTTGAGCACACATACAGAGGTACAAAAAATTACAGATAAGAGCAGCATGCCAAAGCCACTTATACTATGCATAGCATTACGGGCTGGCTTAAAAAATTTAACTTAAGATTAACTAAGCAATGATGAAATCAGTGATAAAACTTTAATGTAAACAGATTACTATAAAGCACAAGTGAGTATTACAAAGACAGGTCATATGGTTGTATGCATTGTTGTACATTCAGTAGAATGGAGTATTCTGTTAGGTAGTGTATTTAAAAAATAATAAAGTTAGATTGGGTTTTAGGTTTAACATTTATGTGATATAATTGTGAGAAACATTTAAGATATACAATTTATAAGGTTCAGTTATTCAGTATTTATTTGGTTTTGGGTGAGTAAGTGATCTTTGAGAAGAGACTTGAATTTATAAACAGGTAGTGTTTCTTTTATATTTACAGGTAATGAATTCCAGATTTTAGGGCCTTTTATGTGCATTGAGTTTTTGCATAGTTTGAAATGGACACGAGGAACATCAAAGAGTGATCTGTGCCTTGTGTTATGGTCATGTGTTCTGTTGAGGTTGGCAAGGAGATGTTTGAGGGGAGGGTTAATATCAGAGTTAAGTGTTCTATGTATGTAATAGGTGCAGTAATAAGTATGGATGTTTTGTATGGTGAGTAGGTTTAGTGAAATTGAATATTGGTGGAGTGTGCTGCCTATAGTGAGAATTTGTTATCATTCTAACTGCAGCCTTTTGTTGGGTAATTAGTGGTCTGAGATGGTTACTTGTTGTTGAGCCCCATGCACAAATTCCATAGGTGAGATAGGGGTAAATAAGAGAGTGATATAGGGCCAGGAGGGCTGACTGTGGAGCATAGTACCGTATCTTCGATAGTATGCCTACAGTCTTGGAAATTTTCTTAGAAATTTGTTGTATATGTGTTTGAAATTTGAGTCTATTATCAAGGTGGATTCCTAAGAATTTTCCCTGTTAGCTTTGTGATAGGTGATCCGTTTATCATTATGTTAAGAGGGACATCTGTAGCTCTGTTACCAAACTGAATGAAGTAGGTTTTGTCAATGTTTAGTGTAAGTTTGTTAGTCCTCATCCAGGTAGATATTTTCTGTAATTCGGTATTTACAGTACTGGCTAGCGTGACTGGGCTCGGGTGGGAGAAGACGTATGTAGTGTCATCTGCAAATAGTGTGGGTTTGATATATATATATATATATATATATATATATATATATATATATATATATATATATATATATATATATATAACAAGTGGTCTTCAATCATTTACCTAACTGCGGCAGGCCAGGGTTCGACCCCACGACACATTGTCCCGCCTCAAGAGACCACACAATGTACATGTCACCTTATCGACTCCACCATCGATCCTACAAATAACGTGCGTCTAGCGAACTAGGCTTGTTTCATGTCGCGAGGACACTCGTTTATCTTATCTTATCTTATATTAAGGATTAATTTCAGCTTCCTCCTGCCACAGTTTTGTAAATGATATATATATATATTATATATAATATATATATATATATATATATATATATATATATATATATATATATATATATATATATATATATATATATATATATATATATATATAATGGGGCCCTATCATTGACTAGAGGTGGACCCCATGATGGACTCCACCTCTAGTCAGTGCGAGTTATGGGACCCATAGCCTCGGAGAAGTGGATAAAAAGGCTTCAAGGAAAAATATTTGGATTTCTTCCTGAAGCCATTTGAACATTCCACTTCCCCTACCACCCCATCTTTTTTCTTTACCAATAGGTATATTTTATTACATAAGGCTTAAAAGATACACCGGTGGCATATACAGTATATGCCGAGGATTGAATCACGGTGGCCTGGTGGCTAAAGCTCCCGCTTCACACACGGAGGGCCCGGGTTCGATTCCCGGCGGGTGGAAACATTTCGACATGTTTCCTTACACCTGTTGTCCTGTTCACTTAGCAGCAAATAGGTACCTGGGTGTTAGTCGACTGGTGTGGGTCGCATCCTGGGGGACAAGATTAAGGACCTTAATGGAAATAAGTTAGACAGTCCTCGATGACGCACTGACTTTCTTGGGTTATCCTGGGTGGCTAACCCTCCGGGGTTAAAAATCCGAACGAAATCTTATCTTATCTTATCTGACACTCTGTGTATGAGGCACGTGCGTTGTTATTGAGCCACGGGGCACTGCTTCAGGGGACACGTAGACCTGCTGCGGGGTTCCTTCGTTCTTATTTATTTATTTATTTACTTATTTATTTATTTATTTATTATTTGGACATGATACATAGTTGTACAAAAGAAATACAGTGATTGAGTGTACATGCCAAGAGCCCCTTGTATACACAGCATTATTTTTTTGATTATAATAATAATAATAATCATTGCTTAGTTAATCTTAAGTTAATTTTAAGCCAGCCCGTAATGCTATGCATAGTATAAGTGGCTTTGGCATACTGCTCTTATCTGTATTTTTTTGTACCTCTGTATGTGTGCACAAATTGGAAATAAATAAATAAAAAAAAATAAATAAATTATGATTAACTAAGCAATGATAAATTCACTGGTAAAAATACAGTAAACAAATTACAACATGTTGTTTACAAGCTTGGTTCCTATTATGGAAAATATTTTCTTCATTCTGTAGTTAGATTATTCTCAATATATATTATTATTATTATAACAGGAGACGGAATATTTATTTTAGTGATGTCTGTTGTCACTGTTGATAGCTTAAATGAATCATCGTTTGTTGCTTCTGGTAAAATTTTATATATTATTTTCAAATAAAGTGAATTAAGTTATCTAGTGGTGAAACGTTTACACTTATCATTAGCCTCTCTAAGAGACATTCACAAGACAGAGCCGAATTAGAAGAGTTATCGCCTAGAAATTTTAAACCCTATATATATACCCGGAGATTTACCAGATGCATTACATTTCTTACCTACACGCAATAATTTTACGTCGTAGCAAACTTTCTCTCTATCTTTAAATACTGATAAACAAAAAATAATCGAGAAATAATTCCTGTTTGAGGAGGAGGAGTATGTGGCAATAATAAGAGAGGGTAGAGAAGGTGTGTGGAGACAACAATCATGGCGCTGATGGTGGCTACAACACTGGTGCTCAGAGCCGGTCAGAAACACTCATTACTAACTTTTTACCTATTACACGAGTCTTGGTCTTAAGTGATATTCTCACTGAGTGAACCTGTGCTCCAAATGGTTTAACATCCGGTCAGATTTCAGCTTTGTTGTTGTGTGAAAGGTTAAAAACTGCATTTAAGTAAATTTACAGTACAATAACCCCTCAAGGAAGGTTCCTTGTTGTTGGTGAGGGGCTCTTGATTTAGGGAATTGGATCTGTGCTCCAGTTCCCCGAATTAAGCCTGAATGCCTTCCACATCCCCCCAGGCGCTATATAATCCTCCGGGTTTAGCGCTTCCCCCTTGATTATTATAATTATACAGTACAATAATTACACTATATAACGATTCCAGTTGCCTTACATAATATGTAAATTACCTAGTATACCACCCGAAAAAAGAAAGTTTAGGAAATAATTTCATAAAATACTGCAGTAGTTGTAATGTTTATTTAATGTCTTCATTAATGATGCTGTATGCCCTTGTAGGTTTAGCGTTTTTTTCATTATAATAATTTATTAATGACGCAAAGTGTGACAATTGTCCATCAGGCGAAGTTTACATCTCGTTTGTTGTACATCTTGTGGTGATGATGGTGATGTAACCCAGACAGCCTGGCCGGGGCAGTGACGGCTATCAGTCTAATAGTAAGTTTATGTAATAACCTGATGTAGAGATTAGGCTGTTTTTTTGAAATCTCGTATTTATTTTTATTTAGAATACGTGCATACTATTTATAATAAGTCAGGCATTATTTCTTGCATTTGTAATACAAACATACTGTATACAAATCACGCATTATTTTCTTTATTTAAATAATAAAAAGGCACAATACCGTGAGTGGAACAATACGCAGATTAGATGCCCATAGAAAAATAAAACTTATGACATTTTGGCCCAACTTAGACCATTAACTAGTCACACAGTACTAGTTAATGGTTCATGTCAGACCGAAACGATGTAAGTTTCATTCTCATATGTAACTGTAACAGCCTGGTTGATCAGGTCCTGATCCACCATGAGGTCTGGTAACAAACCGGGGCATGGGGGCGTTGACCCCCCTGAAACTGTCCAGCCGTATGTGCAGATTATTTGTGTATTATTCCTTTGTTTACAATACAAGCATACTATCTGTACCTCGGCACAACTGTTATTTCTTGTGCAAATTGTTATTTGGGATAGTAACAAAAAAAATTGCATTTATTTTGGGAGTTGCAACAGGTTAAAGCCACTCAGCAGTTAGTATTAATGCTCCTGGTCAATCAGCAAATGCAAAGAAAAGACGAATATAATGTAAACAAAGCCATGCCCGTCCCATATCCACGGTTATGGATTTAGCTTCACGTTTAATTTCATTATAGTGTTATGCATGGATTATATCAGGTATATGGAGTATATCAGGTATAAGAGGCCATGCGCTTGCATATTTTAAATCCTACCTTTCTAATAGGTATCAGTATGTCACCATTAAAGACACAGCCTCATCAGTACAGCCACTTGATACTGGAGTTCCGCAGGGAAGTGTCCTTTGACCCCTGCTCTTCCTCATTTACATTAATGATCTTCCAAACATATCCCAACACCTGAAACCCATTCTCTTTGCTGACGACACGACTTATGTCGTCTCCCACCCTAATCTTGCCACCCTCAACACCATTGTTAACGAGGAGCTGCTCAAAATATCGACTTGGATGACAGCCAATAAACTTACACTTAACACTGGCAAAATCTACTATATTATGTTTGGTAGCAGAGCAGGTGTTGCACAACTTAACATTAAGATTGACAACACTCTAATTGCCAGACATAATGAGGGCAAATTCCTTGGCCTATACCTCAACAACAACCTAAATTTCAGCACCCATATCCAACACATAACATAAAAAGTATCCAAAACGGTGGGGATCCTCTCCAAGATACAATACTACGTGCCACAAACTGCCCTTCTCACACTATACCATTCACTTGTATATCCATACCTCACCTATGCTATCAGTGCTTGGGGTTCAACTGCAGCAACACACCTAAAGCCAATAATAACCCAACAAAAAGCTGCAGTGAGAATAATCACTAAATCCCATCCCTGGCAACACACCCCCCCACTCTTCATAGATCTAAACTTACTCCCTGTTCAGAACTTCCACACTTACTACTGTGCAATCTATATCTACAGGACCTTAAATTCCAATATTAACCTTGACCTAAAATGCTTTCTTGATAGTTGTGACAGGATCTACAGACATAACACCAGACACAAACATCTCTATGACATTCCCCGTGTTCGACTAAACCTTCACAAAAATTCAATGTATTTCAAAGGACCTAAAATCTGGAACACCCTACCTGAAAACTCTAGAACTGCAGACAAATTCATCACTTTCAAAACTACACCCTGACAACTAACTACATGATAACCACCTGGTGGTTCACAATTACACTCACTCACCCACTGACTATAAACCCAGAAATACTAATCTTAATCTTAAAATAATAAATCCTAACTAGTCATAAGTTTGCCTATGATACTCCAATATAGACACTTTGTATTGTGCCAAAACAAAAGCATTCACATTGCTAAACTCGCAAATTATGATGTAGTCACTTAGCCTTAATACCATAATCTGTAAGGATTTAATGTTAAGAATTAATCTAAGTCTGCCCGAAATGCCTAGCCATGCTAGGTGTCCTAGTGGCCCCCTCTGTAATTAGTATTTTGTAACATGTAAACCACACAATACCCAAAACCTGTAAAGCCCACATTGTAACCCTTATAGAGAATAAACTTGAATTGAATTGAGGGTGTTTCAGGAGTCATTGCCCCCGAGGCCCATAATCAGGCCTCCAGGTTGATCAGGACTTCATCAACCAGGCTGTTACTACTGGCTGCAGTAGGTTTTTATTTTATTTTTATTTTTTTTTTTTTTGGGGGGGGGGGTAGGGTTCTTTAGGATATTTTACATTCCTTAAACTTGTAAAACATAAAACAATGTCGATGACAGTACCAGTTTAATATTGGATAGCAGCTAAGATTGGATAAGATTTTGTTTGGATTTTCAACCCAGAGAGTTAGCCACCCAGGATAACACAAGAAAGTCAGTGTATCATCGAGGACTGTCTGTCTTATTTCCATTGAGGTCTTTTCAGTCTTGTCCCCCAGGGTGCAGCCCATACCAGTTGGCTAACACCCAGGTACCTACCAACTTGCTAGGTGAATGGGGACAGCAGGTGTATGGAAACACGCCCAGTGTTTCCACCTGACTGGGGATCGAACCAGGAACACTCAGTGTGTGAGACAAGAACTTTGCCTGCCAGGCCTATGACTTGGTAATTGAAGTTGTCTGCTTAGTTATAATTTTAGGAATGGGAATAATTAGGTCTAATTCCATGGCCTACATCACCTTCCATTACAAATTTGATTATTTGCAGACAGCATGAAGATTAATGCATCTTGTCTGATCATGTTTACTCATGAATGAAAGCTTGAGTACTTGTAGATTTAACAACAGGATGAAATATTGGAAATTAGTAGTAATATATAGAGTAAAACCTCTTGATTAACCCGTAAACGGTCCAAGCAGATCTACGTTCACGTGTAGTGCTACAAAAGTAGATCTACATTTTTTTTTACATATTTTCAAATGTAAAAAAACAAAAAGAAGATCTACTTTTTTACATACTTTCAAATGTTGAAAAAACGTATATATACGTTTGGACTGTTTACGGGTTAATGAACTAATGAGGGGAGGGGGTTATGCAAATTGTTAAGTAGGTGAGGCAAGATTTGTCAGGTAACAGGACAAGCATTACCTGACGTAGGTGTTAGTCAAGTGATGACCCGCAGCTTAAGCTTTTGATCATCTGACTGAGGCCTTCCACTGGCTTACCGATCCACCCTTTTAAAAATTATGATTATAATCATAGCCATTAGATTATAACTTGGTAGGTAGATGTAAATTAAGTTGATATAAGGAGTTATATTTGTCCTCCCTTTCCTTTGATCGAATCTACTTTCCTTCCATTAACCCAGGCACTGTAGGGCCCTGTTAGTTTACTACTTACCTCATCCATATATATAATATGTGAATTATAATTCACGTATTTACGTGCTGTTTGAGTTTAACAAGATTTAAGGTTAGGGTCTGCTTGCCTTTATCTGTGCAGAATAAAAATTGGCTACATTGGCAGGTTTGGAGGGCCATTTGAAATTGTGAGTTTAGGAGCTTGATGGACTGATTGAATGAGTGGTGGTAAATGTTTCTGTCTCTCTCTGTATCTATCTCTGTCTAATCTCTATATACATGTTTCTCTCTGTCTCTCTCACTCTCTGTCTCACTCTCTCTGTCTGTCTCTTTTTAACCCTTAAATGGTCCAAATAGATCGACGTTCAAATTCGTAGTGCTACAAAAGTAGATCTACTTTTTTTACATATTTTCAAATATAACAAAAAAAAAATGTAGATAAAAGTTTTTTTACACTTTTTCAAATGTAAAACAAAAAAGAAGATCTACATTTTTTTTACATACTTTCAGATGTTGAAAAAACGTATATATACGTTTGGACCATTTAAGGGTTAATCATCCTCCTTGGTAGGAAGATGATAAAATAGAAAAAGAGGCAAGATTTTTCAGGTTGTCCTATATTTCTGAAGTTTTATTAACCAGGTTTGAAGCTCTTTTGTTGAGAAGATAATTTTTTTGTTTTTTTTTGTAATAGCATAAATATTTAGGCTTTTTAATGTACACTATTCTGAATTTCAGCTCGGCCTGTGGGTGATGTAGTCAAGACAAGACGGTATTTGGGCAGTGCAGCTAAACGCATCACTACTCATTATACAGTGATACCAAGAGAAACAGATTCAAGATGGAGAGGTGAGCAGTATTGCACTTACTTTGCTTCAAACTGAACATATTTGATTTTAAAATCAGTATGCAAGCCATTCATAGTGAAGAGAATGCAATAGCTTGGGTGTTTGTATTTTTTCCAAAGCAGAATCTGTAAGTTCATGGCAGTGACTTTGACCCCTATGTTTGGGTCCACATTACACATAATTCTTTCTTCACACCAGGTCTCGTATGGCCCAAGCTGTTGTAGCTTTTTACACTCAATAACAACTAGGTGATGCTGTTAACAGCTGTGAGTTTCCATACAAAGTAACAACCAAACATTTATCAAAATAGTGAAAAACATAGTAAAGGAAATAATACTCAAAGTGCCATATTTCTTCTAGATATATCAAAAAAGCTTATAGAATAGATATTGAACATGCCATAAAACCACTTATGAGTATATTTTTCACCCCCCAACATGCACGCACAAAAAGACTCCTGAAATCATAATGACACAACTGCAAACAAACCATACCACAGGCAGGGATAGAACCCGTGATCAGAGAGTCTCAAAACTCCAGACCATCGCGTTTGCCACTGGGCCAGCTAGCCACAATAAGATTCATTTGTGGTCACAGTGGTGCCTATGCTAACCTTCCTATGGTGTAGAAATATACCTAGTTGGATGAATCTTATTGTGGCTAGCTGGCCCAGTGGCTAACACGATGGTCTGGAGTTTTGAGATTCTCTGATTGCGGGTTCTATCCCTGCCAGTGGTATGGTTTTTTAAGAACATAAGAAAGGAGGAACACTGCAGCAGATCTGGCCCATACTAGGCAGGTTCTTCACAATCTATCCCACTAACAAAATATTTACCCAACCCAATTTTCAGTGCTACCCAAGAAAATAAGCTTTGATAATTCTATTTACCCATGTGCAAGTCCCACTCAAATTCAACCCCTCACCCATGTATTTATCCAACCTAAATTTGAAACTACCCAAGGTTTTAGCCTCGATAACCTTACTAGGCACTGTTCCACTCGTCAATTACCCTATTTTCAAGCCAATACTTTCCTGTATCCTTTCTAAATCTAAACTTGTCTAATTTGAATACATTACTGTGGGTCCTCTCTTGGAGGGATATCCTCAAGACCTTATTTATATCCCCTTTATTGATACCCATCTTCCACTTATGCACTTGGATCATGTCTCCCCTCATTCTTCATCTAACAAATGAATGTAATTTAAGGGTCTTCAATCTTTCTTCATAAGGAAGATTTCTAATGCTATGTATTAATTTAGTCATTCTACGCTGAATGTTTTCTAATAAACTTATGTTCATTCTGTAATATGGAGACGAGAGCTGAGCTGCATAATCTGGGTGAGGCCTCGCTAATCATGTATAAAGCTGTACTATAACCTCTGAACTTCTGTTACTTTCACTTCATGATATATATCCCAGTAATCTGTTTGCCTTATTACATATGCTTATTCATTGCTGTCTTGGTTTAAGGTTACTGCTTATCATAACCCCTAAGTCCTTTTTGCAATCTGTATGGCTAAGTTCTACATTATTTAACTTATAAGTGCTAGGGTTATGGACACTACCGAGCTTCAGAACCTTGCATTTATCTACATTGAACTGCATCTGCCACTTTTCTGACCAGGTATTGAGTTTGTCTAAATCCTCCTGAAGTTTCTTGATATCTATGTTTGAATCAATTATCCTACCTATCTTTGTGTCATTGGCGAATTTGCTCATATCACTTGTAATTCCCTCATCAAGATCATTGATGTATATTATGAGCAACAACGGGCCCAAGACTGATCTCTGTGGAACACCACTTGTTACAGATCCCCACTCGGATTTAACCCCATTTATGGACACACACCACTTCCTGTTTGTGAACCATGACTCGATCCATGACAGCACTTTTCCCCCAATGCCATGAGCTGCCATTTTCTTTAACAGTCTTTGTTGCGGTACTCTATCAAAAGCCTTACTAAAATCTAAATAAACAATATAAAATTCTTTATCATGATGAACAGCCTCAAAAGCTATACTGAAGAAAGTTAATAAATTAGTTAGACAAGAACAGCCTCTCGTGAATCCATGCTGAGTATCATTAATCAGATTATGCTTATCCAGATGGTTTCTTATAATATCAGCTATAATTGGCTCTAGCCATTTGCCTACAATTGAGGTCAGGCTTATCAGGCGGTAATTTGAAGGTAACAACTTGTCTCCTGCTTTAAAAATAGGAATTACATTAGCCATCTTCCACATATCAGACACTACACCTGTTTGAAGAGATAAATTAAAAATATTAGTTAATGGTTCACAGAGTTCCGTTTTGCATTCCTTAAGAACCCTTGAAAAAAGCTCATCAGGACCCGGCGATTTATATTTCGTTTCAGTCGGTCTATTTGTCTCGTAACCATTTCACTAGTGACTGTGATGTTACATAATTTATCTTCTTCAGGCCCACTATAAAAATTAATTACTGGGATATTGTTAGTGTCTTCCTGTGTAATAACTGAGAGAAAATAATTATTTAAAATCTAGCACATTTCGTTCTCTTTGTAGGTAAGATGCCCATAGTTATTTTTAAGGGGCTCTATCTTACCTCTAACTTTTGTTCTATACACCTGGAAAAAACTTTTTGGGTTAGTTTTTGAATCCCTAGCAACTTTAATTTCATAGTCCCTTTTAGCTTTTCTTATCCCCTTTTTAATGTCCCTGTTAATGTCAATATACTGATTCATAAGATGACCCTCACCTCTTTTGGTACATCTATAAATTCCTTTCTTCTACCCTAAAAGATATTTGAGCCTATTATTCGTCCATTTTGGGTCATTTTTATTCAATCTAATTTCTTTATACCTTCAACATAAACTTACATTGTATATAAGTAAACAAATGCTTCACAAAAAAAAAAAAGCATGAAGTTGTACTTTACAGCCTAACAGTTATGCAAATATAAAACTGATGAAATTAGTCACATTTTACTGAAGATGACATAATAATGGTATAAATCTCATTTTGGATAATGAGATCCATTGGATATTCATTTTCAAGAGAGGAATAGATTAAGCCAAGTACATACTTTATTATTGCATCATCAGTACTTTGTCCTGGCCTGAGCTAAATTGAATAGGTATTGGTTATGTATGTGGCTGTACATTATTTTTTCAAAGATTTAAAGACAGTGGCAAGCACCATGTGATAAACTTATATCAGGTGAGCATCTTGGCTCTCGTGTTGTAGGTATTTATATACAGCTTTTAAATCTCTGCAACAAATTCACCTTAAACCAGCAAATAATAGAGCCTACGAGATTGGAGAATACACTGGATCTCATCTTCACTAACAAGGATGATCTGTTATGAAATATTACCGTATCCAAAACAATATACGTACACAGATCACAACATAATAAGAGGTTCAGACATGTATGCGCGGGGCCCCAGACCGACAAAATGTGATCAGTCATGAGGGAGCCTTCACCAAATTCAACTTCAATAACAAAAACATAAGGTGAGACCAAGTAAACCAGGTCCTAAATGATATAAACTGGGAAGATAGCCTAAGCAACACAGATCCAAACCTATGTCTAGAACAAATTAACTCTGTGGCACTCGAGGTATACTCAAGGCATATTCCTTTAAGGAAAAGGAGGAAAAGATGTAAACCAGAAAGAGAAAGGCACTTCCTATACAGGCAGAGGCAAAGAATAACAGAGCGGCTAAAATAGGCCAATATATCTGTAATATGAAGGGAGAAACTGATCAGAGAAATAGCAAACATTGAACTGAAGCTAAAGGAATCTTACAGGAGTCAAGAAATGTGGGAAGAACTAAAAGCCATAAATGAAATTGAAAGAAACTCAAAATATTTCTTTTCTTATGTCAAATCAAAGTCAAGAACAACAAACAGTATTGGGCCCCTACTTAAACGAGATGTGGCCTACACAGATGACAGCAAGGAAATGAGTGAGTTACACAATTCCCAATGTGACTCGTTTTTTAGCGAGCCACTAATCAGACAGAGAGTCGAAGACCTAAATGAATTTTTATGAGAGAGACAGAGTTTGGTAGACTCGAACCTATCTGATGTTATCGTGACGCCAAATGACTTCGAAAAGGTGATAAATGACATGCCCTTGCACTCTGCCCCAGACCCAGATTCGCGGAACTCTGTGTTCATCAAAAACTGCAAGAAGCCCCTTTCATGTGCTTTTAACATCCTATGGAGAGGGAGCATAGACATGGGTTGTCCCACAGCTGATAAAAACAACAGATATAGCCCCACTCCACAAAGGGGGCAGTAAAGCAATAGCAAAGAGCTACATACCGATAGCACTAACATCCCATCTCATAAAAATCTTTGAATGGGTTCTAAGAAGCAAGATCGCCACCCATCTAGATGCCCATAAGTTACACAACCCAGGGCAACATGGCTTTAGAGCAGGTTGTTCCTGTCTGTTGTAACTACTGGACCACTATGACAAGGTCCTGGATGCTCTAGAAGACAGACAAAATGCAGATGTAGTATACACTGACTTTGCAAAAGCCTTTGACAAGTGTGACCATTGGGTAATAGTACACAAAATGCGTGATAAAGGAATAAAGGGGAAAGTTGGTAGATGGATCTATAATTTGCTAACAAATAGAACACAGAGTAGTAGTAAACAGTAAAGTCTGAGGCAGCTGTTGTGAAAAGCTCTGTTCTACAAGGCACATATCTGGCATAGACAGGGATGTAAGCCACAGCACCGTGTCTTCCTTCGCAGATGACACCCGAATTTGCATGACAGTGTCCTCCATTGAAGACACCGCAAGACTCCAGGTGGACATCAGCCAAATCTTTAAATGGGCTGCAGAAAACAATATGAAGTTCAATGATGAGAAATTTCAATTACTCCTATATGGAAAATGCGAGGAAATTAAAACTGTATCAGAGTATAAAATAAATTCCAACCACACAATAGAACGAAAAACTAATGCAAAAGACCTGAGAGTGATCATGTACGAGGATCTCGCCTTCAAAGACCATAACATTGTATCATTCGCATCTGCTAGAAAATGACAGGATGGATAATGAAAAACTTCAAAACTAGGGATGCCAAGTGCATGATGACACTCTTCAGGACACTTGTTCTATCTAGGCTGGAATATTGCTGCACAACAGTTCCTTTGAAGGCACGTGAAATTGCTGACCTAGAAAGTGTACAGAGAACCTTCACGACACACATAACTGCGATAAAACACCTCATTTACTGTGAACCCTTGAAGTTCCTCGACCTGTACTCCCTAGAACACAGGTGGGAGAGATACATCATTATATAAACTTGGAAAATCCTAGAAGGATTAGTACCAAACTTGCATACAAAAATCACTCCCTATGAAAGCAAAAGACTCAGCAGATGATGCATCATCTTCCCAATGAAAAGCAGGGGTACCACTAGCACGATAAAAGACAACACAAGAAGTGTCAGGGGCCCAAGACTGTTCAGTTGCCTCCCAGCATACATAAGGGGGATTACCAACAGACCCCTGGCTGTCTTCAAGA